ATTTGTGTTTTTTCCATGAGTGTTTAGGATTACCACTTGTTGGACTTTTATTCTGATTTGTACTATATCATTAAATTTGCTGCCTCTTAAAATCCAGGTTACCTCTGGAATCTTCAGGTGAAACTCCAGCCCATAGTAAATCTCTTGCCAGATAAAGGAAGATTAATGGACTTTCTTCTCCAGAGGAAGGAGTGCAAGATGGTCATCCTGTCTGTCTGTTCACAGAGTAAGCTAAAGAATCCTCCTCTGTTAGTCTTGTTCCCATAGTAGGCTTGTGCTGCCACCACCCTCCCCGTTATGGGGAGGTAACACAAGGTCTACAACCTATAGACTTGTTTTTTTAATTGAAAGATGGCTTATGTAATCCCTTGGATAGGCTGAGAAATAAACATGGTTTGTAGAGAATTCAGTAGAAAAGACTAGAAAATTGATAGTTCCAGATGAAAGCAGACTTGAAAATGAGCATACACAATGGAGTGGGCCCTTTACCTCTAGTGTTAAAACAAATATCTTCCAGAATCCGAGTCATAAACTGCAGATATTGCTGCTTGAAGAATGTCCTGAGCCAGGTGTGGTGGTGCACACCTGTGGTTCCAGTATTTGAGAGGCTAAGGCAGAAGAGCCCATGAATTTGAGACCAGCCTGGAAAACATAGTGAAACCCTATTTCAAAGCTTTAAAAAAAATACCCCAAACCCCAAATCATCTTCTAGTATCTTGCCTTAGCTATTTTTTACGAGATTTTTCAGTKGCTGGTTCTAACATTTCTTTGGGCTGAGGTTGTGCCTCAGTGGTAGAATGCTTGCCTAGCACGAGTGAGGCCCTGGGTTCAATCCTCAGCACCTCATAAAAATAAAGATATTGTGTCTATCTACAACTAAAAATAAATATTTAAAAAATATATGTAACATTTCTTTGAACGCCCTTTAAAAGAATGTTATCAGCAACCTTTTGAGATTAAGAGTCATCAGCAAAACGCTGAAATTCCAAAGATTACATAGTTGGTTTGATTTTGTATTGTATTCTTTCCAGTGTTGAGTGAGTCAGACAGAGCCACACTGCCTGTGATAGCCACTGTGTTTGATAAACTCAACCATGAGTATAAAAAGTACCTGGACGCTGAGCAGAGTTACGTGATGGTAAGTTAGATACTTTATAACCAAGCCCTGTTTTAGTCAGCATTTTCATTGCTGTGACCAAAACACCTGACAGGAACGATTTTAGAGAAGGGAAAGTTTATTTGGGGCTCATGGTTTCAGAGGTCTCAGTGTATAGATGGCTGTTTCACAATCTAATCATTTTATTGAGCATTCCTGCATTGACACAGGAGCTTTTGAGTGAGACCTCGAATCCAACCCCCTAATTCCTCAGCCATTAAAATGCAAGATTTTGATAGCATAAAGTCACTGAGGTTTGATGTGTGCAGAGGGCAGGGTGGCAATAGGACATGCAGTGTGCCATCTCATTTTTGCCTTGCTTTTTTTTTTAAAATTTTTTTTTTTAGTAGTTGTATGTGGACAGAATGCCTTTATTTTATTTGTTAATTTTTATGTGGTGCTGTGGATTGAACCCAGTGCCTCACACATGCTAGGCAAGCGCTTTGTTACTGAGCTACAGCCTCAGCCCTTTGCCTTGCTTTTTAACCAATGTTTTSATCTTACACATAAACAGGTCCTTGTACATTGCTAGAGCTTTGTCTTAGCAATTAGAAATGCAGTTTCCATTACTTATCACACCTCTTCCTTTTGCTTTAGGATGTAATAAGTACAAAAATAAATTTATCCTAGAATTCCRTCAGTATCCTGAGCAGACTGATGCTTTTCAGTTTGTAGTGAGGGGCTAGAAATAATCAACATGGCTTATGACCAGGTACTGTACTATTGGTGCATCATGTTTTCTGAAGCAAGAAAGAAAAGTTTAGGACAAGCAGGAGAAATTATTTCACATCAAGTGCCTGATTAGTCCTAATGCTGGAAGTGGTTTTAAAYAACACGCACAGAACTCCCCTTTAGCTCTTCAAGGGCAGCAGGTCTGAAGCAGGCTGTTCAAGGAGGCGGGCTGCCTGGATCACCTCTCTGCCCCATCCCGTCAGCCACGAGGGATGGCTGAGCTTTCCCAGACCCCTCTGCTGTTGGTGTCTTGGGCTGTGGCAGTCAGAAGGTCTGCCCCCAGATGGCAGTTCTGGGCTTCCCTACATGGCCACCAGGTTTCACAGACTCAGCATTTGTGGGTGCAGCCCACTCACTGGAGATGGTGAGCACCTGGAGCTACAGAAATATGGGGTCTCAGGCTGCACCCACAGCTACTGCAGAACATGCAGCATTGAAACATGAGGCAAAATAGTCAAGGACTTCTCACAGCATGGTCTCTCCCATCTTAGTCATATTTGGGGAGCTGGGGCTTCCCGAGAAAAATCCTGACATACTGCGCTGGGGTTGTGGCTCAGCGGYAGAGTGCTTGCCTAGCATGTGCGAGGCGCTGGGTTCGATCCTCAGCACGGCATTAAAAATAAATAAAATAAAGATATTGTGTCAACTACAATTAAAAAAATATTTTTAAAAAATCCGATATACTGGGCTAGGGGTGTAGCTCAGTGGCAGAGCACTTGCCTAATGTGCATGAGGTCCTGGGTTCCATCCCTAGCATCACAACAAAACAGAAAGTTTAAAAAAAAGATCCCAATATTCTCATTGCAACCTTTATTGTCAGTCAGAGCTTCATAAAACAAGCTAGCCATTTTGTTTTTATTAGTTAACAAATGCCATAGTTCAGGATTAAGAATATTAAGGAGGTTGAAAGTTTTCAGAGATTAAAAAAAGTATGATGTATCTGAAGAGAAAAGTGTGACTTAGGCTTATGTAGTTCCACCTACCATGGATCCACCCTGAGTATTTCCAAGATGATCAACTCTGACCTGCCACCATCCCAAGYTGGCACAGGAAGTTTTCTCTAAATAGTGAAATTGTCCTCTGTCTTGTCTTAGGTTTCCATCATGGAATTTCACTCTTTTGGGATTAACTGTAATTGGTACCATTTCTCTAGAAGACAGCTAATAAGATCAACACCTGTGATTTATCCCTTTAGGCAGTAGAAGCAGGGCAGAGCCGGAGCAACCCGCCTCTCAAAAGGCCCACCCGGACCCAGGCTGTGGTGGACCAGTCTGACATGTACACCCATGTGCTGTCAGCATTCGCCGAAAATAAGGTGCTACAGCTTTTCAGCCTTTTTGGGACCAAGAATTCTCCAAATGGGTTGTTGTGGGGAAGTAGTAGAAATCACACTCTGACTAGGGCTAGCTGGAGCCGCCTTGGGTGATGGCCTTTGCTGGTACTTTGGTTTCTAATATYAGAACTGATGGAATTGCCCTTCATGTGGTTCTGAGATCAGTGCAAAACCAAACKGGGCCATTTTACTCTGGGCACAAGTACAGGGTAGGATAAAGGAGTTTTATGTAGTTCCTTTTGTTAATTCTGGTGCTTAAAAATCCACTCTTCTCTCTGTAGGAGATGCCACATAAATTTGTGATAGCTGTGCTGATGGAATATATTCGCTCTCTTAACCAGTTTCAGATTACAGTACAGGTAACTTTATTGGCATTTGTCATCCTAAGAGGAGTTAAATAAAAGCACTTTCAGTCTTAGATGACAATTTTACTCACTAGAAGGGTCTGCATACCTGACACAGAACTTTGAGTGACTTGAACATCCCCCATTGTTGAGTTGGAATGAAAGTGTAATGTCAAGTTGGGTTGAAACCATTTCTCGTCATAACTGAAACATTTGYCCAAGTCAGTGGCTGCCTGCAGTCCTCAGGCAGCGCCCTGTCTGTCATARTTAAGCCACTGGAAACGTCCTTCTGTTTTGTTCCCAGCATTACTTACATGAACTTGTCATCAAGACGCTTGTCCAGCACAACYGCTTTTACATGCTGCACCAGTTCCTGCAGTACCATGTGCTCAGCGACTCCAAACCTTTGGTGTGTATCACCAGATTTTTATTCTTGTTGTGATTAAAAGCTTAAAATGTTAACCTTCCAACTGAAGCTCRTCTGAAACTGTCTTGCAGGCTTGTCTGCTGCTGTCCCTCGAGAGTTTTTACCCTCCTGCTCATCAGCTGTCTCTGGATATGCTGAAGGTAATGCAGGTCTGTCACAGCTTCAGACAGCACAAGTGTTTTTGTCACTTGCTCTGATCTGCACTTCTCTCTCCCTTCCAGCGACTTTCAACAGCCAATGACGAGATAGTAGAAGTTCTTCTGTCCAAACACCAGGTATTAGCTGCCTTGAGGTTTATCCGGGGCATTGGTGGCCATGACAACATATCTGCACGGAAATTTTTAGATGCTGCAAAGCAGACCGAAGACAACATGCTTTTCTATACTATATTTCGGTTTTTTGAACAGCGAAACCAGCGTTTGCGAGGAAACCCTAATTTCACACCAGGTGAGTACACTTACTAGGGGAAAACCTGGGGTAACCGTAGACTCATGTAGTAGCAGGAACCCAATGTGGGTGGGCAGCTTTTGTGTAAGGAGGATTCCTATGTTAGCTTTTCTGGAAATGAAAGTTCCTAACAACAGCTAACCTAGCCTGTGGTCTAAACTGTGGATTCATCACGTGGGTGTAATTAATGTGAATTAATTACACTTTGGAACTCACAGCAGAGGTGTTTTGGGTTGAGACATTCAGGAACAAGAGAGCAAACTGTGGCCTAAGGGTTTTAAACGATTCTTGCCTAAAATGGAAGCATTCTTTTAGTAAGCCTTGAAACACYGGCTAATAACTCATCTCCAAATAGTGATAAAATCTAAGACATTTCTTCTTAGGACAGACTCCAATTTAGGTCTGCCAACCTTTTCTCTCAGCATCCAGTGCAAGATGGTACTGACCCCAACAACGGGTGCAAATCACTTTCATTTAGTTTTTCTGCTCATCTGAGCACATGGTGACTTGCTAGGAATTATGAAGGTACTAGTTCTGTAGTAGAAAGGGCAACCCCAAAAGTTAGGAAAACAGGTATTTTATTAAAGAAAAATAAGTTAAAACCCAGTATACAATCTGTGAGCTACATTCTCTTGTTTTCCTTTCCTGTCACACCTAGTGGTGACTAAATCTCTGTTTTCCTTCATAGGAGAACACTGTGAAGAACAYGTTGCTTTTTTCAAACAGGTTTTTGGAGACCAAGCTCTAATGAGGCCTACAACATTCTAGGCTTTTTTTTTTTWTATATATAAAAATGTGTACAAAGTTAATTTATTGCATTAATAAAGCTCTTTAAACTACAAAATTTCATAATAAAGTATATCTACAATATCCTCAAATGTTACTAAAAATATGGTATAGAATGTGTATGATGGCTTACTCCCCAAAAAAGGAGCCAGTGTGTAGATTGGCCTTCAAACAGTGTCCATGAGCAGATCACATTCACAGTTACCCTACGTGTCATTCTTCTTGTCAAACATGAGGTTTCTTTCCTGAAGGACTAGGTGGGGGGTGGGGGAGGCTTTAGTGTCCCAAAGGTCCCTTCAGATTTCATAATACTGCTTCACAAGTCACCAAGTCACATGCACATTCCTGAGTTTAAAAGCAGGACATCTGAAGCTCTGTTCAACAGCCCCAGGCCTGGAACATCGGGTGTTCAGCTTAGTCTTGACGATGCAGTTACTGTCCAGTGGTAAACAGACCGACCCCTTGACACAGTTCAAAGTCACAAACCCTYGAAGAAGGCTAGAAATTTAGGAGTCGTTCTCGCTCTGAGCCTTTGTACCGATCTTGGGTGGTGCGACTTTTGGCTTTATTTACTGATGGGCCTATGAAAGAGAGAAATAATATTTGTTATTTCTTCAGGAGAAAAGGAGATAGTTTATACTGGATTGCGATAGTCTGTCCCCTAGGGATAGAGAAAAGTCCCTCAGTTACAAAGGTATAAGGCAAATAATAATGTTGTCCTTTCAACCAGGGGACATTTCTACAAGATATAGTAGTCACAGAAGTAAACAGATCATAAAGGAGTAGTGGAGGTCAAGGCCTTTTGCTAAAAACCTTCATCACAGGGGAATGAACAGCTGTTTTAACTGCTGGGGCTCATTCCTCAGCAGTGGGAGGGCATCCTGGCCTGGCCTGCTATCATGCAAATTAATTCAAAGATCAGACTTTAGCTTTTGTTAAGCAGACAAGAAAAAAAAATGTTCACAATTTACTAATGAAATAGTTTGGATATTCCTGAAATCCCTGGACAGGACTTTTTTCCTTCAAAAAGAATTTCTACTTAGTAATATCTATCAGATGACCAACCATAGTACAAGTTCAAATACTATAAAACAGTGCTTAAGAACTCTTACCTATATAACTAAGTAAGACAGGGAGAAATATTAGTCCATGAGTGGCTCCCAGTAAGACCATAGCTAAATACATCCTGAAGTAAAATATCTGGAAAATCTGGGATTTGGCAAAGGCCAACACCACAATTCCTCCAAATTTTGTAAGTGTGATTCCGCTGAATACCTAAAAGAAGAGACAGTGTTACAAACTCTTTTTATCAACTTTTAACTGAACACTTCATAATACAAAGATGTCTTAGAATTCAATATCCAAAGTAATGTGAGACAGTTTTTAGAGGTACTGGGAAGTAGCATTATTGTCTACCTAAATTTTAGTCTTTACTCTTTTTTTTTTTTTTTTTTTTAAATGAGGAAATGCATCAGATGGCCATGTTACTTTTTTTTTTTTTTAAGAGAGAGGGAGAGAGAGAGAGAGAGAATTTTAATATTTATTTTTTAGTTTTCGGTGGACACAACATCTTTGTTGGTATGTGGTCTGAGGATCGAACCTGGGCCGCACACATGCCAGGCGAGCGCGCTACCACTTGAGCCACATCCCCAGCCCCAAGTCTTTACTCTTTTTAAAAAATTTTGTACTGGGGATTAAACCCAGGGGAACTTAAGCACTGAGCCACATCTCTATCCCTTTTATTTTTTATTTTGAGGCAGTTGCATAGGGCCTCACTAATTTGCTCACACTTGCCATCCCCTTGCCTCAGCCTCCAAAGTTGTTGGCATGCATCTGGCAATCTTTATTCTTTAATTKATATTATAAACTGATGAACAAGAGTTGGACTAAGACTCTCCAGACACCCACTACAGGCTGCGGGCTTGGTTCTGGGACGAGGCAGCTCTTGCTGGTCAACACACCATGCTGGCTTCCTGCGCTCTCAAATCTTTCTTAATATGCTTGAGCTATCCTGCTACCTAAAAAGGAGTCATACAAACATGACTGTAAAGAATTTCAGGTCTGTACAATACACAGCTATTTCATGAATTGCCTGACAACTTATAGGAGCTACTTGGTACCTGTAAGGTCCAGTAAAAGATTGAAATAGTTTTTTTTTTAATTTTTATTAGCTGTTGATGGACCTTTATTTTATTTATATTTATATGTGGTGCTGAGAATCAAACCCAGTGCCTCACACATGCTGGTCAAGCTCTCTACCACTGAGCCACAACTCCAGCCCGGAAAACAGCTTTACCCACTGAATTTTAAAGTTTCTTCTCAGAAAGTCATCGAGCATGCACCCCATCCTGCCACTCCTGCTGCGTACACCCACAGAGTATACTCACAGAACTGCCCATGAGAGCGAGCGCCTCTTCAGCACGGTCCACGCGGCTTCCTTTTGCACTCACTGTGAATGCTCTGGTTATGTGGCTGCAGAACTCCACRGAAATGCCACAGCTCTAGAATAAAGTACTTACATGAGAATGGCTCTTTTCTAGTTGAAAATCCTGAGCCACCTCCCCTTCCCTAAAATGGGGGTTTGCCAGGGGACCTGGGTGCTGGAGGACCCCCTTTTTAAAAAAAAATTTTATTTTATAGTTGTAGTTGGACACAATACCTTCATTTTAATGTGGTGCTAAGGACCTTGCATGTGCTAGGCGAGTGCTCTACCACTGAGCCACAACTTCAGCACCCCCTCAAGCAGCCCTTTTGACTTATAAAACAAAGTTCCCATCACACCTACCTAAATGGTGGCAGGAAACCTTGGAACCCTCTAAGCACCACCCAGTGCACCAGTTTTCTACAGCATGTTTGCTCTGTTAGGGGAAGTTGCTGGAACCTCTCAAGGTTGGCCCCACTATACCCCACTGAGCAAGCACACTGTCTTCCTGTAATTAGGCCCCACTACCACTCTGAAAGGGTTACTATCTGAAAGTACTGATACAGTTTCTATCTTCCATTAATACCTTCCTGAATGCTCACTTCTTCAAGATTTTATTAAAAAGCACCTGGCAACTATATGGGATGCCCTGCTGGGAAGGCAAGGACAATTTTCTGTAAAGTAAATATCTTGCTGTCATCAGGCTACATGCTTTTGCAGTGCCTTCCGAATAATAAAAGCAGAATACCCGTGCCAGACGGTGGGGTCACATTGCCATTGGCACAGATGTCATGAACCACACTATTTACTATAGCTGCAAAGGGATTAGAGGAAACAATGGGAGGGAACAGATTACCTTTAATGTGCTTCTGCTCCCRGCTTCTGCCTCTCTGTGCCCTGTCCTGATTCCTCCCACCTCTCCTTAAGCACCAAGAGTAAGAGGCAGACTTGCTATTTTACTCCATATAGGGTTATATGAAATTCAGGAAACCATTCATGTGAGTGACGGGAGCTAGGGACAAAATGAGAGTGGACGAAGACTCACCATCACCAGGTTGACTAASGACACTGCGTTCAGACTGATGCCCCACAGCCACATCACGCCAAACATGTTGACCAGGATCATGGCAATGGTGACRCACATGATGACTGCAGACCACAGTTCACAGCCCAGAACAATCACGGTCACCAGAAATATGGACCCCAGGGACACACCAAGGTTAAAGATGGTGTCATCAATGATGGTCAGGTACTGTTCGTAGAAGACGTAGAACACACTGGGGAGGAAGGGGGACATTCCGTTACAGCTTACACTCACTCCTGGGAGCCCCACCCGGGACCACTCTCACTCCTGCAAAGCTGGGACACTTGGAGACACCCTTGCAGAACACCTCCCTCGTTCCTGCACCACTCATGTACAGTAATTCATCTGGATCTGATGGCCACTGACACCCAAAGAAGGGCCTCATGTTTTGTTCTATATAAGGTTTTTTTTTTTAATATTTATTTTTTAGCTTTAGGTAGACACAATATCTTTATTTTATTTTTATGTGGTGCTGAGGATAGAACCCAGTGCCTCACGCATGCCTGGCGAGTGCGTTACTACTTGAGCCATATCCCCAGCCCCCAATATAATGTTTTTGATTCAAAGCCCAAACTATGTTACCTTAYAGCTATTGACAAAAAGCATTCCATAGTATTTTCGGAAAAAAAGCAGATCTGACCCGGGAACTACCTCAGGCTATTTTTACCCCTAAAAGTTAATCAGTGCTTCCCAGGAATTAGGACATACATTTTTAAAGAACTTCTTCCACAGGGATCATGGTGGTGGTTTAAAAAAAAAAAGCTACTTGTTTCTTTTACCATTCTCTATTTCCCCAATTCAGTATTTAATATATAATACATTCCTTGGCAGGAAAAAATAATACATAAACCATTCAAATGAAAAGTCCACTTAAAAGCACCGAGAAATCCCAGTCAGGAATACCCAACAGMTGCTCTCTAGGTACGCCAGGGCATCCCTTCCCTGAGGCAGCACCCTGCCTGGGGTCTCGCTGGGGCTGTGAGGCAGCATGAACCAAGTGCAGTTTGTAGTTCTCAGAGGCTCAAGGTTCTAGTTCCAAGATGGAGCAAGTATCAGAATCCAAGCTGAAGACCAGCATCCCCTAAGAGACAGACCCTTCTCCAGGAAACACTTCTTTATAAAAATCCACATTTTACCTGTATGGGAACACCCGATAATTACTGCCCTTCGTGCTCATGGTTTCGGTGATGTTACTGGCCACAAGTCGGGCTTTTTTCATAGCATCAATAAAGTCAGCGGAGGTCTGCAGCACAGTGTGGTAGGTCATGAAGTATGTGGCTCCGATGCCAGTATTATTGCCAAGGATGTTAACTGCTGAGCTGTAAGCTGCATGTCCCCTGGGAAAGAGTGGGTGTCAGAGAGGCCAGCCTTGCAAACTGGGCAGAATCTGAGCACTCCAGGCTAAGTGACTCCACTCAGAAGCCAGACACAGTTGTAGAGTTCGCAGATGAAAAAGGTGTCCTGATGAGGGAGTGCAGAAGCTCTGGCTTGTTCTCGCCCAGACCGGCTTTTCTTTACTGCTGTGGTTTCTCTGGTGCTTGGTAGCTATTGTTTTTCTATCTGATTCTGCTCTTAAACAAACATGCTCTGATACGGAGTTTACTTAGTGCTGCTGTGTAACAGGAGGCAGGGAAGGGCCAAGACCTGGACTCGACCTCGGCCTGCTGCACTTGGTCCTGAAACCCTGGCAAGATTCCCTCACCCAAGCTTTAGCCTCCCGCTTGGCATCACCAGCTCCAGCGCCACAGGCTGCAGGCCGGATGGGCAGTTCTGCACAGCGGGTGCCCCCGGCTGCCTTTGTTACAACTGAGCTCATCTCAGCTGGTATTATGTAGGCYAAAGCACTCAGGAACCAAGTTGCAAGACTCATTTCTCTTTTATTTTTTAGGGGCAGCCTTCCCGTGGGACCTAGTACAGGTTTTAAAACACAGACACGATACATACRATTAACTGATGTGACTCAAGTAAAAAATGGATCCTTACGAAAAAACAAGTATGTTCAGTTAAACTCACATACATGTGGATGCTCGTCTTCCAACCCGCAAAAATTTCCAAATCAACCCCCAATCTTCTTCACTATTAAAAGTCAGATATCCTGCACTGTGGGCAACTGGCTGGATGGGGAGCGAGAAAGCCCACAGCCTCCTCCTCTACGGCCAGGCTGGCAGGGAGCACGGTGGGGCTAACCGAATCTAAACCATTGTTTTTTGTGRTACTAGGGATCAAACCCAGGGGTGTTCTATCACTGGGCTATGTCCTAGCATTTAATTTTTTTTTTTTTTAATTTTAAGACAGGGTCTCACTAAGTTGCCAAGGTTGGCCTTGAACTTGGGATCCTACTGTTATAGTCTCCCATGTCCCTGGGATCATGATTATGCACCACTAAACCTTGATCTGGGATAGCATTACCAAAGCAAAGGCATGGTCCTTTACACCTATTGGCAAAAGTGGACAAATCAAGCTCATTCACACTCTGAAATACTGGCATGTCTACCCTCTCCCTCCAGTCCCCTCATAATGTGCACGGAACCAGCACCTATCTCTACATCTAATGGGACAGGACCCAGACAGCAGCGTAAGAAACGAATCCCAAGCCAGGAGGAAATCTGCTGAAAACAGACATTTTTTTTTGTTTTTTTAAAAGGTGTCTTAAGTTTCTTTACTGCCCCAGGATTGGGACAGGATGGCTGAGGGTGGAGAAGATGCCCTTTCCCACCAACTGTCTTAACCCAGCCCTCACTTAGTTCTCCATTACAAATTAAAGCTGCAGCAGACGCTTATCTGACCTGGCTCAGCAGCACTTACCCTTTGCCACACTTGGGGTTAGGGTTATCAGAGAGAAACATGGGCAGGAATTTCATGAAGTCTCCACCCTGAGGTCTCTGTTTGCCCTCCGGAGTCAGAGGCCTGCAGCGGACGCAGGAAGGGTCAACCACTGGCAGAAAAGAGGGAGGACCAACTGTTAGAAGAAGGGGCCTCCAGATTTTTTTTAAAAATTAGAGACTGAATGATTTTCCTGAATCTTTCCCTTCATCCAAAAGCTTCAGTCACAAGTGACTTTCATTGTTTAATAGATTTAATACACAGCTTCATCTTAGGTGGACAATACAGCATTTCCTGCCCTGGTAGGTTTCCTGCTTCATGGATGACAACATCGAGTGGTATTATGAGAGCCAGGAACTTCCGGGTCCCATTAAGAAAATTCCAAGACAATCTCAACACTTAAAAACCATCAGGCAACAGTGACAAACCAAGGCAAACATGCCTCTGAGAAGCCAGGGCCAGTGGCCACTCAAAAAAGGCAGAATGAGAACCCTCATCAGGGAACCAGTTCCCTGGAGTGACCTTGTTTGGCCTGCAGCCCCATGGAGGGCTCAGAGAGAAACACGTGGCATGATTCAGAGCTAGTGACAGAGGAGAGGGACAAAGACAAAGGGAATGAAACCCGGAGCTGGCACAGAAACGGGCACATGCTGAGGCAAAATGCAAATGATATGTATGTAATGTTAAAAATTTTCAGCAAAAAGGAAAGATCTGGAGAAGGAGGAGAAAATACCTGAAGCATTGCAGAACTGTTCAGTGATATTGTAGACTCTACAGCAAGTAGACTGTGGCTTAACCCAATCAAAATAATCGTCAATCCAGGACGAGGGAGCAAAGCCTATCCGGGTGCTGGAGAAAGAGGAGGAAAAAACATATACAAAAACTGTTAACTTGCTGCACAGGGAGGAGTCTTTAAATTCAGTACTTTTCCTTGAAACTTTATATCTTTTATTGCTTTATACTGCTATCAGTCAAAAGACAAACTACATTATAACTCAGTGAAAAAAACCTTCAAAGGACCAGTAGCAAATTAGTTCTTTGAAAGGTTTTGCTTAGGTTAAACTGGATTTAACATATGTTTTGATTAAAAGCAACTTTTCCAAGAAAGTCTATTTTCAGTGAGAAATTTCAGGCCCGAGCTGACTAGCTGGGAGCCCTTCCTACTGCTTCTGCTGAGGCACATGAGGAGCAGGTGGTACTGACTAGTTGTCCAGCTGAGCCGCGTTAAATATCTGCTGCACCAAGGAATCGTTGTCACAGCCCATGCCGCCGCACACCATGTTCTGCCCCTGTAGGGATGTATAGTTGTGCCCTTCCTCCAGGACAAAGTACACAGGTGGACCCGCGTGCAGGTACTGACCAAGGGATTTGAAGTAATCTATGACATAAGAGTCCTGAAAGACAGACCAAAGAAGGGGAGAGAAAGTATGAATGATCTGATGGTAACTAAGTGAGGTGATGGTCACTGAGAATTCAGAGGGCACCAGCAGGCCCAGACGCCTCCAGCCTGGATTCATGATTCTCTTCCTTGGGTTCCAGGGTGCTCCTCCTGCCAGTCCCAATCAGGTTGGACCTCCATTCAATGGCTGTGTCCAAAGAGCCCAGAAGGTGAAGGTGGCCCACAGGGACACAGCCTGGTGGCAGTTCTTATATCATATGATCAACTGTCACCATTGCCTACTGCCTTTGCACAGAGAAGCAGGCATAACACCCACGTTCATTTACTGAAAACTTTACTCATCACCAGTTAACGTAAAAAAATAATAAGAAGAAAACATCTTACATCTGGCACTGAAAGAGACTGATCCAATCCAATTTCTACTTTGTTCAGGACCGCGATACTAAATGACAGGACACCCACAAAGACGGCAATCTGGAATGAAAGTGAATTGTAAGATGGCAACTGTTATAATATAACCATGAGTTGAAGAAGATAAATAAAATCAGTCTCTCTCTCCTTCACACACACAAAGCAGGACTTTTCTTTTTCTTTTTTTTTCAGTGCTGTGAATCCCAGTGGTAGTACATGCAAGGGCTCTACCACCGAGCTACACTTCAAAGCAGGACTTTTCTAAAATCCAGGGATAATTCCAATTTTAGCCTAGTTCCCAACTGATACTAAATGTTCAAAAAATGTTAATATCACTATTGCTTTTTGCTGTTATGGGAAACTACCTTGTGTTCTTTTAGTAGAGAGTGGTCACTATCTAGCAATGAGAGGGCGCACCAATGAGGGGTCTGGACAGTGATAGGACAGTTCTGAATCCTGACTACAGTGAAGATCATGGGACCCTGCACAATGTGATAATATCTCAAAACTACACACACATTGTGTCAATATCAAATTCCTGGTTCTGGGGTGCAGGTGTAGCTCCATGGTAGAGCATTTGTTTAGTATGTCCTTCCAAGCACTACACACACACACACACACACACACACACACACACACACAGACATGTCCTGGTACTGATGTTGTCCTATAATTATGTAAAATGTACCACTGGGGAAAACTGGGTCCAGGAAACCTGGGTCCCATCTGTACTATCTTTGCAACAGTCTATGAGTTTATAATTACTTAAAAATAAAAAAAAAAATGACAACTCTATTGCTTATTGGGACTGCTAAAACCTTGCTAGAAAAGGATTTTACTATTTATGCATGTTAAAGCTGTCAGAAATCTGCCTCTCGGGCTGTGTGAGTTCTTCGAAGGCATGAGACACATCTGTCTTGTGGGGAAGAAAGAGAAACCACAGAGGGGTGCATACCACGATGGGTCGCATCCAGTCCTTCAGCAGAAGTGGAGAGTAGGAGTTTTTGAAGAAGCGAAACAGGCAGCTTTCTGAGGCCTGGACGCTGCTTCCATCTTCAGCACCTTTCACACAGCAGAGGATGTCCAGCCGATTTTTCTGAGGGTACAAAGAAGAGCAAAGGTCACAGAAAATACCCTCCTGTGGTTCCTTCATCTAGATTTCAAACACATATTAAACGGACTGTAGCCCTGGTACCAAYTTACCTCTTGACGTTGAATGTCTAATCCCAAGAGACTCACGAAACAGGTAATCTGAAGTAGGAAGTCAATGAAGACRGCCAATCCCGCAAACAGAGAGAAAGTGTGGACGGCTGGCATCACCGACAGGGCTCCTATAGGGACAGGAATAGCTCTGCGTCACTCCACTCACTGCACAGGAGTCTGTGCAAGTCACACTCATGTGGACACAAGAACACAAGGRGCCACCTAGGCCTGACCCATTAAAAGGTACGCCACGGTCTGYATGGCTGCCACACGGAAACTGGGAGAGGAACGGGGTCTAAGAGCTCAGAGCTTTTCCAAATGGTGTCAGCACCAGACCAGCTGGGGAGTACACTCCGGGTCGCAGGCCCTATCCTGCTTAATCAAGACACAATTGCGTACTTCAACCCCAACTCTAATGTATTTAAAAGGTTTTCAGACAAATTTATGTGTGTTACACTTTGAGAACCATGAAAAATAAGGGTATTTCTTGGAGTAACCTATAGGTCTCACTCTGAGAGAGGGACTGTATTTTCCACCTGCTATTGTTTCAACAATGCTYGCCTCCCTGTGAAGTTACAGTAAAGAGAGTTTACAATCAAACGAGGGTGTTCCAGGTCAAAGGTACCAGGGTAAGACTCAAAGGTAAACTGGCAGCCCCTGGGCCAGATGTATACTGCTTGGCCCACACTTCAGTGGTCCATTTTAGGATTTTAAAAATATTTCTTAATAAGTAGTCAGCATTTGGGCTAGGGGCACAGCCCTAAGGAAGAGCATTTATCTAGCTTGTACAAGGCTTGGGCCAGGGTTTAATCTCTAGCACTGGAAAAAAAAAAAAAGTAGTATTTAATGATGAGATAAAGTTTTAACACAAAAATCTAGTTTTGGAAAAAAAAAAAAAAAAAGAAAAATCAGACCTTGCAATCCTGGGCTGGCCACATGTCACTACCTCTATTGGAGGGACACTCGCACTCAGAGTGCCACAGCTTCCTCCCAAACTATCTCCCCAAGATCACTCCAACCTTGAGGCACAGTCTCAGCTGCTAATATCCTTATCCTTGCACGGGTTTTCTAATGACGAAAGTAAAAAGAACTTTTTCTTCTGCACCTGTGTCCGTCAAAAGGAACAACAAAGGCCACAGGTTTCAAAAGCATTCAGCTTTGTGGAAATGAGACTAACATGGTGACAGCATATCTGTGTTCAAAGACTACCATCATTGAAGATCCTACAGTGTCCCTGCTGAAGGTGACCTTGGGACCATGCAGGCACTATGGTCTGTGACCCACAGACAGTATCTTCTCTGGGCTGATGGCGTCTAATCCACCCTCCTCTATTGAGGACAACTGCTTTTCTCCTCACTCACTACAGAGATGCAGCCGGCAGCCTGACCCGTGAGTCTACTTGGCGATGTCTCCATAGAAAAGAAGTATAGAAGGGTTGATTTTTTTGTTCCAGCTTATCCCAGCTCCTCGAACTGAAGAAAGATGCATAAACCCCTAGGGGAGGCTGCCTCCCCGGTGAGTGGTGTGAACAGGGGAGGAAGACTTCTACCCACACACAGCCAGAACATCCTGCAGGCCAATGCCTCTCAAAGAAGGCACTTCCAAACTGAGACCCAAGACACTGTCACCAATTGTTCTTATTCTCCACTCAGTGATAACTTTCCAATTATGGAATAAAAATGACAAAAGGAAGAGCAGGAAGGTGCACAAATCCAAGTACCCAGCTCTTTCTATTCTCAGGCTCAGCAAACTATAGGACTGGTACAATTTAAAGCATAATTACCAAAGAAAAATGCTGAAGTCTCGCAAAAGGATGACAGGAACATACTAGGAGCCACTTCTCCTAGGACCCTGCCCAGTTGTTGATCCAGGGTTTCCCCTTGAAGACGTTCATCTCTCTTAAAAAAAAAATAAAAAAATTAAGTATGCAACATTAAAATTTCTCAGTAAAATTGCCACCTCTTTGCTTCTTTGTGTTAATTTGATAATATAAAATTATTAGTAGATGATTAGCAGTATAGCTAACCCTATAAACTTCTCAGGTTGAAGCAGAGTATTTCTGAACCACTTTCCAGGTACTAGGTGAGAAACCCAAGGAAAAACTGAATCTGTTATCACAAGAATACAGGAACACAGGCTGCAGGTGGCTGGACCCTTAAATGATGCTTCTATGCCACTGACTCTCCACTCTGGCAGGGGCTTCAGGATGACTGACTGGGACCACTTTCTACATCAGCGGGCTGTGTGTTGACTTTGGGTCTTTTTAGTGGTGCTTAGAACAAAACTCTTGTTCTTCTACACTATGCTGAGAATTATTTTAATAAGCTATGTCCAAAAGCATTCCCAAAATGTTAGCCCTTTTCATGCACATGTGGAAAGATACTTTAAAAATCAAACTTTCACTTTACATCTATGGCACCTACCAAAGACAGGGCTGAAATTCTTGGTTCCAAAATGTCCAAGACAAATCCAGGTCACCCGTGAGCCACAGAAGGCAACAACACAAAGCCTCCTCACTGTCCGCACCGACAAATGCCCAGCTGCTAACAGGCCCCATGCTGGGATGGCATGCTCCCTGGGAAGGCGAAGGCATACCTGGTAGGTCTGCACCAGGATGAAGATGTTGTCCACCCCCACAGCCAGCACCAGGAACGGGATGACTTCAATCACTATGAGGGTCAACGGGGTCCCCATGTAGCTGAAGATACCCAATGAGCAGGCCACCGAGCTCAACACGATCACGATCCCTGTGATGCCTAGGGAGATTTTAGAATCCACCTGAGAGGTGACGAAGACACAAGTTGTCAGTTAGAGGGTTTTTTGCCCATTGATTACTAAAAGGTCCTCATTATTACTGCTTTACATGGGTCTATCTAACCTAGAATTAAAAGTATAGACGGGTGTGGTGGCGCACGCCTGTCATTCCAGGGGCCTGGGAGGCTGAGGCAGGAGAATTGCGAGTTCAAAGCCAGCCTCAGCAATAGTGAGGCACTAAACAACTCGGTGAGACCTCATCTCTAAATAAAATACAAAATAGGGCTGGGGATGTGGCTCAGTGGTAGAATACCCCTGAGTTCAATCCCTAGTACCAAAAAAAAAAAAAGGCTAATTCCTAATTTGAGAGAGAGAAGAAAAAACTTCCAGGTCTTTCCTAGTAGCATATTTCCTGAGCTCACATTCTTAGTGATGGAGTGGACAAATTAGAAAAAACAAACTAACAGACAAACAATGTGAAGAACTTTAGGATTAAGATGAAACAAAAAATTGAAACTGAAGAAAACAGATGCAAGAAACAGAACTGTCATATAATTAACATACAGCTTGTACCTGAGTCCCTCAAAAGGAACAGCAGTACATCAGTACATCTAAGTTTTTCTTTTTTTTGGTTGTGGCACTTGGGATTAAACCCAGGCCCTCATATACACTACACAAATGTGTTAACGCTAAGCTACATCCCCAACCCTTTCTGTTTTGTTTTGAGACTGGGACTCCCTCAGTTGCCCAGGCTAGCCTCAGGTTTGTAATTCTCCTAACTCAGCCTCCTCAATAGCTGGGACTGTAGGCACACAACACTGTTCCCAGCTCAAAACTCTTTTGTTTAGGAGACTTAATGAATTTAGAATAAGTAGAGGGGCTGGGGTTGTCATTCAGTGGTTAGAGTGCTTGCCTGGCATGTGCAAGGCACTAGGTTCGATTCTCAGCACCACATACAAATAAATAAGTGGTCCATTGACAACTAAAGAATATATAAATAAAAAAGAATAAGTAGAGGCACCAGACATGGTAGTACACACGTAATACAACTTGGGAGGCTGAGGCAGGAAGATCCCAAGTTCAGAACCAGCCTAAGCAACTTAGTGAGAATGTCTCAAAATAAAAAATAAAAAGGGGGCTGGGGATATAGCTCAGTTGGTGGAGTGCTTGCCCTACATGCACAATGCCTGGGTTCTAATCTCCAGCACTCTAACAACAAAAAAAATAAAAAATAAAAAGGAGACTATTTCTTGGTCTAGGGATGCGGCTCAGTGGTTAAGGAGCCCTGGGTTCAATCCCCAGTACAAAGAAAAAAAAATACTTGAATAGAGGCTTAAATACAACATCATGCTGGGCATGGCCATTTCTAACACATAAATAACAAACACATAGGAACATGAAATATACACATAATACAACCCCCCCCCCCCCACACTTACCAGAAGCCTGCGACAGCTTTTGATGTGCCCCAAGGCTAGGGAAATATACAGAAACATGATGGCGTAGCTAATGACAACAGTGAAGATATCCCCATTACTTTCACGATTTAGTTCATCTTCAATACTTCGTTCAGTAGTGAAAGAAATGGTCAGATTTGGATTCTTGTAGTTTTTCACAAAATTAATAAACCTAAAGGATAAGCAAAATTTAATAGTTTTAGTTAAAACTAAGTGACAGATAAGTAAGAGCTTCTTTCCCAACTTTTAAGGGCAAAGGCCACACTTAACCTTTGCCCTGCATTAGGAGCTTCAACACTGGAGCTTAAAAGGTGAAACACGGCCACAGTCCTTGTCAAGCTGAATTTCCTTTTTTGGGGTGGGGGAGATGCTGGGGATCAAACCCCAGGCATGTTAGGCAAGCACTCTGTCATGGAGTCTTGAACTTTCTACCATTTAAAACAGATTTGGAACAAGTTTAAAATTGGTTCATGTTCTGCCTATGTGTGTTTTTTTTTTTTTTTTTTAAACTAAAAAAGATACCTATATGAGCTGGGGTTGTGGCTCAGTGATAGAGCACTCACCTAGCATGTGCAAGGCCCTGGGTTTGATCCTCAGTACCACATAAAAATAAAGATAT